AGAAGAAGAGAAAAAAATAATACCAGACGAGAAATTTTGCACATGAAAAATGCTCTTTTAAACAAAAGAGGTCAACTTTACCACACTGCCTTTGGGGCCGATGACACCATGTTGGCCACTGTCACCTTTATGTCCTTTATGTCCTTGGATGCCAGAATCACCCTTTTTCCCAAGAGGTCCTTGTATACCCTGAGGACCAAGAGGCCCATGCTGACCCTGGGATTGGGAAGAGGTTGAGATTTATTTTTTTTATTTTTAAAGAAACAATTGCAACAATGATTGCAATCCTAGGGATACAGGAGGTAATGGTTTACACAGTGGTGAGATCTGCTGTCTGAGAGTGGTATTGTCAAAAAGACAGGGCTGAGGGTGGCAGAATTTTTTTTCAGAAGGTTCTGGATGAAAATTTGCAGATCAGTAAAAACTGCTCAGTTGACGTGATGAAGTGTACAAATGATGGTGATGAAGCTGCTGCAGGCAGGAAGAAAGAGTAAGACCTCCACAAAACTCATGAATGTTGTTGTCAAAATGGTAAGGTGAGATACAGACACACAACCACAGAAGGAGCAACAACAAAGATAAAAAAAAAACAAAACTAGATGTGTAAGGAAAGAAAATAAACAATAATAACAATTTCCAGCCATTTGAATTACCTGTTGAAAACAGAGACATAAGAGATGAAATTATAAGGAAAAAAAATAAAACGTAAAAGGTTAAATATTTCAAAACATAACAACAATAAAAAACACCTAACGTCATAGAGAACTTGATTACTAATGTTGGAACTATTTTATTTAAACCACACGGAGGAGACAAAGATTATTGTTCTTGGTCTAAAACAATTGCTCGAAACCCATTTCGCTGCCTCCCTCTAGTGGCCTCTCATTAAAATTGGACTTCCAACTTCCATCCACTGGCTTCTTGTCCCTTTAAATCATTGGTTTCAAGATGTCAACGTTGTATCAAATATTAAAAAAAATTAAAACTGTATTGATAAACGTTTACAGCTTTTAACATTTATATTTTAGTTAGAGCCTGTGAAGCCTGTGAGCCTGAAAAAAGGGACAAAGCCAAAAGAAAAAGAAGAAAAATTTTAGTTAGAGCCTTTAGGTGAAATAGTCAAATGCTTCTGGATGTCTGTAAAGCCTGGTCCAAACCAAAGATGACATACAAATTAGATAAGCTAAAACTAATAAGTGTTTTTCGACTGGCGGTCAGCTGCATTTAAATCTCTCACATCTTTGTTTTGATTGGTAGTTATTTGTTATTTGATGATTTATGTTCTGATTGTTATTGTTATCTTTCTGCCCAAGCCTGTAAAGCCCTCTGGTCACCATGGTTGTTTTGAAGGGATTTAAACAATTAGAGCTGAACGTCAGAGTTGAAGAGTTGAAGTGTGTGGTTGTTCCTGGCACAACTTTAACCATCTTTTTCTTAGTTTCCTAGTCACTACTAACTACAAATGTTGATAAAAATGAGCACATTTAAAATACACGTTAAAAACCATTTTACACCAGAGACTGCAAACATGATACACTCAAAAAAATAAAAAAATATGATGAATAAATCAATCTTCTTTGCCACAGCTGTGTTGTAATCTGCCTGACAGGTATCATGTGACCAAGGATTTAACCTTAAAATAACATTTTCATGAGAAGGGTGTGGCCCGTGACATAGGGTTTAGTTGGGTATAGAAGTAAAAAAACAAACAAACTAATATTTGAGAAGAGAGCTGAGAGTTGCTTTGAGAGCAGCTTGTCAACTAAAGACAGCACTTACTCACTGCCCTGTCCTCAGTGAACTTCTTTAGTTGAAGCCTTCATAAACACATGCTGGGCGTGCCGACCATATTTTAAGCTTGATTGGGTGAAACAAAAGGTTTTTCCTGCAGTATGTGGAAATAACATTGTGTGAAACAACTGTGTATAAGAGCAACACTCTTGGTGGACAAATTATGGCACAATTGTATATGTATTCCACATCATGTTGTACATGCATTAAAATGTGTAACATCAAGACAACGTCTCAGTTTTTCCACAGTTTAACAGTTGAAATGTGAAGCTCACGCTCAACTAAAAAACACCATGCAGACACGGGTGGATAAAATGGAAAGAGATGGGACTGAGGACAACCAACACTATGGGAGTGTTTGTCTGAGACCTCTTAGGGTCAATAAGTCATGACCTTTGAGGTTTTTGAGGCCTGCAAATGTTTCTGTGAGAACCAACAAACATTGTGATGTTGTGCTCCCCAGAGAGCGAGAGTGAGAGTGAAGCTCTGGGCCTTGTTATATGACGCTAAAGCCAAGGGTCTTGTTGGAATTAATAAAATTCCAGGGAGCCTAAACAATGTCAAATAACAATTCAAACAAGCTCGACGACAAATCAGATCCAGACAGTGTGAGAAAAAAGTCCAAGAAAAAAAGATGGCTTCATGTCTGAGTGCATACAGCATGTCGCTCTCTCTCCTTCTCTCTCTCTCTCTCTCTTTGTGCATGTTTGTCTGTTTTTAAAACAACCACCCAAAGCTCACAGGAACAGAAGGTGTGTTTTGTCCTGGCCTCAATCTCAAAAGTGCAGCTGTTGCCTATAGAGCAGACAACAGTCGGACGACAGGCCTGTCAAAACAACTCCTATTGCACACGGTTAAAAAGAAGTGTTATTTAGTATGTGCTGTTTTATCACTGTTACCAATAAATAATAAAACTGAGATAGATAGTCATTGATCAGATCTGACAGGACAGATAAAAAAACCCAGGTACAGGCCTCTGATGGGCAACACAGCTAATTTCACTTGGCCTATAGCAATAAAGGAATAACCTGCAGGCGCACGATGATCTGCTAGTCATATCAAATGGCCCATATCTGGCCCATATTGGGGCAAACATTTGGACCGCTGAAAAGTGTTAGTGGTCTAAGTATTTCTAAGTACATGTTAATACTCAGACAGTTAAGAATTGCTATAAAGTCATAGTTTTTCAGGTGGTCCTTGGGAGAGACTGACTGTTTAGTTTTGGTCTTGGGTAAAAGACTGATCAGTCCTCAAATCTCATAAAATATAATCTATGGCCAGCAATGGTTTCACAGTTCCTGACTGCTGCTAAAATAAACGTTTCAAATGTGACGTGTTTGAATTGTGATGGTGAGAAAAATACATGACATCAGTTCAACAATAACAGCTGCAAAGTGTTAGAGAATGTCAATCACGCTAACTCATTATGGGAAAAATGGTGGTGTCGTCAGCATATGATGAGCATATAATTCAGACAAAGGGAGAAATGAAATGTACAGAATAGTGACACTATACTACAGTATGTTCTAAATTAGAATTATTAATTGAACGATAGGGTAGCAGTTGATTACAGTTGGGTATATTGTATATATTTTTTTCATAGTTAGGGTTTAGTAAAACACAAAAGTATGTGTGTGTGGCTATAACTGACACTAGATCCTTGTCTATAGCCTTTGCATGGTACAGTGTGTTCACTGCAGACAATCTTTCTGCTTGGGTTGAACAGAGGCCTGATAAATACCAGGCTTCTTTTATAGCTGATGATGGAGGACAGATGCTTCAAAGTGCATGCTTGAACAAGAAAACAGCCACAATGCTGCATCTACTGTAAACACAACGAAAAATAAAAAAATAAATAAAGATCTGTAACACTACAGTACATTTATTTGTCTGTCCAGATGCTGAATATTTATAGATAAGATAATATTTCATTTTTTAAAAATGTACTCTCAAATGTTATTTACCTAAATATAATTAGAGCTTCTTTAAAAAAAACTATCTTCAAGTTAACTTTGATTTGCTAATTTAAACTTATTGGCATTGAAATACAAAAACTTTAAAGGACTACAAACTCACTAAATGACAAAGTGATGGACAGACCTGTGCAATAAACCTCATGACAGATTGTTTTTTTTTATCAACATGTCATTTTTTTATCTCCCCTCTTCCGCTATGATCTACACCTCTTCCCAGTCCTCCCCATTCTTAAATAACCTGTCATCCACTGCTTCACTTCCTTCATTCCTCTCGACTCCCCTTCCTTATCAGAGCCACTTCCACACAGCATTTCCTTCACTCCCAGAATTGTGAAGAGTTCTCACATCCCTCTGCATCTATCCAAACACTCCTTTGTTGGCCTGTATTCTCTCACTTCCTGTCTCTGTTGAGCTAAGACACATTTTATAATTCTACAAATCAGCTGGGCAGCATCACATGAAGATGTTGAAAAAATGTTGTAACAACGTGAAAAATCACACAAAATCTTGGAAATAAAATAAAGGAGACTTGAGTAAAACAGAAATAATAGAAATTGCAGAATATAAATATATGAACAAGTACGGCCAAGTCATGTATTTTAATTAACTTGGTCATATTGCATTGTAGTTGTAACAACACATTTTGTCAGATTTTTAGTACGTAAACAAAACCAGGGACAGACGGTCTGTGACTGTCTGTTAACATCTCGTTCTTTTAGTCTAGTCATGAATTCACGTGATCACGAAGCTGAGGAAATATGGGGTGACCTCTGAATTTGTCTTACTGTAGCCGTGTGTGGGGCTCTCCTTCTCTTTATGACAAATTAGGCCTCACGTCATTCCTTCATTTGTGTATCTTATGACCTTCGTAATAACAAACGATGAACCATCAATCTGCTGTCAGATGGACTAGACTCACAGGAGAGAAGAGTAAAGTTGTGATAGTAGTAGTTACTGGGTCATGTCCACAAACAAGCCCAGTTTATTGACTTCATTCTGACAGATGTGAAAATAGATTTTACAGTGTCTGAGCAGTCACAAAAATGTGGTTTCAAGTTATTGTTGCCAAGGTGAATATACACTGTACAAGTCCTTATTTGTACGTGAAATGTTTAACTGAAGCACAAATTACGTGCAGTCAGAACAGTCGGTCACACTGGCAAGTACACAAGCACTTGAGCAAGGGCCTTCATGACGTCTTGTTCCTTTCTGAGAAAACCACTGCGCTGTCTTCACTGTCTGTGTTTCTATGTGGGTGTGTTTGCATTTCTCATTCCTGTATCACAGCTCTATTAAAGGTCCCTCCATCTGACCCCATAAATTTCATCGGGACTCAAAAACGGCCCCTTGGGTGGACGGTTTTGGAACAAGCCATTAGGAACAGGATGGGAACATGCAGTCCAGTGTGCAAACCTCTGACCTTGGGGAGAAATAATATAAATCAATAAA